GGAATGATGAGATGAAGACATCTCAAGAAGTGTTTAATCAGGAACAAGAATTTAAAAATCTTTTATATTATGTAGTGATTTAGGTCTTGGTACTTCCTTTTAATTTCTTTGTCTCAGTCATTTTTCATATTTATTAATTCTGAATTAGTATAATTTTATACTTTTTCTATTTCTATGTTTAATATTTTGATTGCTTTTATCAATATGTGTTTATTAGTCATTATTTTTAGTCTGCCTTTATTTTAGGCATCATTTAGCTCCTTTATTTTAGTTTTTATATAAAGTATGTTTTCTGCAATTGTCACTGCATTATCAACAAATTTGGTATGTTTTTTTTATCATTTATTCTGATCCTTTCATATTTTTAATCAAGATTTTGGAAAGTTCTTCCAAAGCTTCTTTGAAGAGTCTCAGAGAAGTAGTGCTATCTTATCTGAGAGTCTCTTCTCAGTTTCATAATAAATATTTGTATTATAAATAGTAATAATTAATTTTATTAATGTTGTAGTTGAATGTTTATTAACAGACAAATCTCAATTAAATATAATATACAATTCAAGATTAAAATGTTTATTTACAAAATCAGCTGTAATAATTAAGATTTTAAATTATTAGATGGTAATAGAAAAATTTTACAAATTTATTCAAATGAAGTATTAATGAAATAAGAATTTTGTCAATTTGAAAAAGGAAAAAAAAAGTAATTTCAATTAGAGATTGCTGATAAATGCAGATATGTAATGAAGCTAGATTTTTTAACCAAGTTTTTATTTATAGAGATTAAAAATTATCAAAACATTAATTCTAAATTTTCATTTTATATTAATGAAGTTTAAATTTGGAATGATAAAACACTTTTCATGTATTTTTCAGGAAAAAAGGTTGAGACTTTTATAAATTGCTATTTTTGTATTTTACAATTTATAGCATTTTTTTGACTGGAAACATTAGTATTCTGAAACAGTATTTTAATTATTAAATAGAAAGAATAAAAATGTAGCTAATCCATTATGTGATTACAATACAATTAAGATATCTGAGTCATTAATAATTTGCATTTCTGAAATTTTTATTTTATGAATTTATAAAATATGATTAATCACAATGTAAATAGATTTCTGACATTTAAATAAAATGCTGAAATATATCACTGAATTATAATATATTTTATGTTATTTGTTATTACAACAAATAACCAAATACTTTTTAATTTTCAAATGGAGTTTTTACAGAATTTAATTGTCATATTTCTAGTTTTTTGATTTGTATATATAAGTAATAAAATTGAATTATTAAAAATATTTTTAAAATAAACTATTTATATTGTGTATTTGAAGTAACATATGTAATGTAATTTATATAAATCTATTCATTGTAAATGTTAAATCAAATATTATAATGAGTTCAAACAGTTTCTATAAAATTTTCATTTCAAGTTAAATTTTTCTCAAACTATAAATTTGGCAGATGATAATTTTCATATTAATCAAAACTTAAGACAAAGTCCATCAAATCTAAAAGGAAGGGTCAAGTCATTATAAGACATTCTGGAACATGAAAGTGAATTAAAAGCTGACTTTATCTTCAATTTTAATAAGTATGAAAATCTTTTATGCTTAAAATAATAAACTGAAAACTGTAGAATCATTTAAAACCTGAGGAACAATTACTGTTAAGAAATTTCAAAATGATATAGAAGTTATTTTTAAACAATTAACAATTTTTGTATCACATTTTGATTTTTTAATTATTTTTACTTGTTATAAATAATATATTATTGTTAATAATAATATGCTAGTAAATAAGGTGTGATTAGTTTTGTAACAAATCAGAATTCAAAATGAATTGTACTTATTTTGATTAGTTGATTTGAATTATTAAATAAATACAATTTGTTATAACTTAGAATTTCAAACTTATATTATAAAATTGCTAATTTTTTTTTTGGTCAAACTTGGATGGGTTATTTGGTAAAAACTTGGAAATTTAACAACTGATATGATATGTTGTTATATTTTATGATGGTGATATTACAACATAATTTAAATGCATTTTTATTATATCTGGACTTATTATAATTAATTTAAGTAGTTAAAGATTCAATTATTCTTAATTATCAATATATAAAAAATTAACTTATATAATACATTAATAAATATTTTGTTTGCATTACTCTTGTTTAATTCATATCATCAGATCAGACTTTCATTGAAATTTTAATTAACTCTTTTCATATATTTTTTATATTTGGAATAAACAATATTTCAAACTGTTTTAAAGAGGAAGAAAAAATGTTACAATAGTCAATCAGATTCAGAGTTTTATCTGTGGCATGTGATCTATATTCTGCTTATTATACAAGTCTAACTTGACAATTCAACAAACTGGAAGTGCTGCCATTATTTTTCTCTCTCATTTTGAAGACTTAATTCATGATTTAAAGTACTTACAACACTTTTCGATTTAAAAATTTGTCATAATATGCATATATTTTGATAGTTATATATTTATTTCATATTTTACTAATTAGTTTTGTATTTATAGTTGTTTGAAATGAAAATTATTTCTATTTTGGATGATAATAATGGCAGTGCATCTGTGATATCATTATGATGCAATTCTATTCTACCTTTCAAAATTTACTTTCTTAATTTTTTTTAAATGTTTTAATTAAAATTTTTGTATTATATACATTTTTCCCCAAATATACATGTCGCACATATCCAATCAATTTCACTAACGTAAAATACATACTGATTTCTAAATATTTGTATAAATATATTATAATATTTTATACAAATATAAATATACTATATGTAACAAAAACACATTGTACATTTTCACATTGTAACATAAAACAAATTTAGTACAGACTATACAGTATTTCATGTATGTGATTGCACTGCATGCTTAATAGTGCTAATAAAACACACCTTTAATAATCCAGCAAATAAAAATTAATAATATAATAATGTTTTCGATCGTTTCTTAACGATCGAAAACGTTATTATATGCTTAATAGTATAAGAAAATATACTAGACTTAGGATAGAGTAATTATTTATATATAGTTTATGGTTACATAAACTAGTGATATGTTAATAATTTTGCAAATTTCAAGCTTATGCAATATCTGTAACTAATGTTTTGCACTAATAAATTTATTAATGATCAAGTGAGCTTGATTGTCTTTTGGTAATTTGAATGATTAAATTATTAAAATCATGATTAATGTATTTTGGTATTACTGTATAGTTAGACACTATAGTCATAGACTTATGCTACCAATATTATGTAATCATTAATTAAATTTACTAGACTGAATTATCTAACCTGATAATTTTCACAATAATTAGTTATATAACTTTGATCTATTCATAACAGAATGAATTATTTAATGTATATGTATATTGTTATAATTCACTTGATCAACAATGGAGACTTTTTTAGTTAACTAAATAAAGTTATAAATGCATGTTACACAAATTACTAAAATCACATCATTATAATGATGAAAATAATGTTTTAATGAAAACTGATAATAAAATAATATAAAAACATATACGAAATTTTAAAAATTGAACAAAAATAAGAATGTTTCAACAAATTATTTTTTGGTTAAATTTTGAAACTGACTTTTACTACAATATAATACAAATACATTACAATTTACATTTGAAAACAATTACAATAAAAATTAATACTCATAAAATAATTGATGTAAATAAAAACTACAAATAAAAATCAACTTAAAGCAAATATTGGTACAATCAAACAGAAGTACATGCTCAAAGATTTTCCTGAAATCAGCTAGTTAAAATCAGAAATAATTAGATAAATGTACTATTTACATATATTTTTATATTATTTTACAGTTTATTAATTTACCTGAGAAGGANAAAATATATATATATATTTTGCAGTATTTAATAATTTAATAATTTGCAAACTGCAAATTATTATAATTGATTTCGCTTAAATAAATAAGTTAAACTTTAATAATTAATTAAAATAAATTGTAAAAGATCAGAAAATTGATAGAGAGAAAGAGACTTCATTAACTTTCATTAGGATTAATTAATTATAAATGGAAGACATATTAGAAATTAATATATATTTAAATTAATGTGTATAAAGAAATTTGTAAATAAAAATTTGTATGACAATAAAAATGTTAATTCATTTATATTATATTTTAAAATATTTTATTTACATTAAATCATTTCTAAATAATGAGTTATAATTTTTGAAATAAAAAAACAAAAATAAATAATCTATTGCAAAATCTTATAAATTTATAAATATAAAATAAAAGAAAAACACCAATTTTTTATGACTAAATACATATTTTACCATACATATTACTATATAATAACTATTATAAATATATTATTACATATGTATAATAATTTAATGTAAGAAACAATAATAGAAATACCATATTTTATGACATAAAAGACAAAACTTTTGTCCAGAAAAAAGGCTAAAAACCTATATCTTATAAGTGAAGTTGTGATCTCCCATAGGTTAATGAATTCCCCAAATGGTCTTCAGTAACTTCTACCTAGCCCGACTCTCGAATAAAAAGTTATTGTTTAATTAAGTACATTATTATTTTTGTTATTAATTATTGATATAACCGAGCAACTTTTGCTTGTATTTATGTTGAATATTTTAATGGTAAATTTAATTGTGAATATCTTCTTTTTAAATTGTTTTTTTCGTTAAATATGACTTAAATAAAAGTGTGTATTCTAATTTTACTTTAACTATAATACAGTAAAAAAATTTTGGGTCTGAGCACTAAAGGGACAGTATGGCTTAAATACAATACTTTTTTTCTAAATATTCTGAAATGGAGGCACATCTTATGTGCTATAAAATACAGTATGCTTTACAGTTTATATTTTTGCAGTTATAAAATTGTGGCATTTATTAAGATATATTTCTTGATAAATTTTTTGTTTTCTTATATTTAAAAATTATTACATTTTTTTTCAGTTACTTAAGATATGGAAGTTTTCCTGTGATCAATCCAGATAATTCAACTTTCCCTGATAAATTTGTTTTGAATCAGTTGTTTCAATATTCTGTGACTATGGAAACTAATAAGATTTCCACTTTCCTTAATATTTCAACACCTTGGCCTGGAGATTGGTTTGCAGCAGCTTTTATTAATGACAGCTCTCAGCAAATAAAACAAAAGGTTATCTTTTTTTATACATAATAATTATATATTGTGGATAATTTATTTTATAAATAATTATATATATCCAATATAAAATGGCGTTTACATGTGCATACATGCACATCCACATATACCACTCATGTACACACACACACTATATATATATATATATATAATATACATTTGTAATTTTATTGGAGATAATATCTTAATACCATTATTTATCACTAAATGATATTTATTTAGTCATTCAATAGCAAACTGAATTCTGATTTATCATTAATGATACATCAAATTCAGTTTGCTATTGATTGACTAAATAGTTTATTAATGATTAAATAATTTAGATTAATATTAACAATGAATAATGACACACCTATCTACAATGCCAAATTATTCTAGTCATAACAAAACTTATAATCAATAGTAACTTGATATAATCTGGTTAATAATAAGATAATGTTTGATATAATTTTCATTTTTGTAAATTTAATTATGTATATTTCATCTATAAAATCTGTATTGTTTAATTTGAAAATTGTAATATGTTAGTATATCATTAAATTTTGTAATTCTTATTATAATTGAATTAATTTTAATAAATTAACTTCACATCACAACTTATTTTTATAGTAATAAGACATTGATTTATTATTAAATAAGTGCTGAAAATTTCTAAAGTTTAATTAGGAAAGTTTCGAATACACAATAATTCAAATATTTGTCCAAATCAATTAAGTTAGGACAGATGGGTGAATTATCATATATTAGAAACTTAAATATATTTTATGAATTTTTAGCATTTGTTATATACAGTAAACTTTGATATTTATTCAGCCTGTAACATTATTCAATGGCAACTTTTTTCTAATTTTATATTTCATTTCAATATATTTTTTCTCTGTAATAGTTTGTGTTATATGTAATAAAAATAATCTTTGATTATTTTGATTACTTATGACACAAATGAGACTGAGGAATTTAACAATCAGAGATTTTATAATCTTTAATAATTTCTTTAGCATTTTTTGATTAACTTTGTTTATGTAATATTGATTTTTGCTTGATAAAGATTTTAAAAATTAATTTTATTCCCTATAAGTATGTTTACAAAAATTGTCAATTTCAAAAGCATTCGCCAGAAATAAATGTATTTGTAATTTGAGTTGATAAACTTTAATTATAGAAATTATACATTTTTACAACAATTTACTGTAATTTTAATTTTATCTCAATTTTAATTACAATATTTTTAACATTAATTTTGTTCTTTATCATAGGGACTTTATAGGCCTTGTCAAGCATGGTTAGCATCATTATTACGAGTAAATATAGAAAATTCTGTAATTAATGTAGTTTCAAATGAAGAACTCTATCAAGAGATTTCAAATCCTACATTTTATAAGTAAATATTTTTGCTGTATTATATTTCTAATTACAGATTTTTGTTTTTCAAAAATAACATATTTCAAAAGTAAATTATAAATTGAAAACTTTAAATTTATTGTTATTTTATGTTAACAATAAATTAATTTATTTTTTAGATTTTATGCTGGGTTTAATACTTGGTCTACTAGTATTGTTATAAAAGATTGTAGTTCCAGTTTAGACAACTGTCCAGTGATGCTCTTAGCACGTCCATTTGCACTTCCTTCAGTGGAAAATACAACACTGAATAGTTTTTCTGTGAATTGTAGTACAGTAAAACTATGTAGTGCCAATATTATACCTGCTGAAGAAAATTTTAATTATATATTAGTACATCCATTGTTTAATGAAACTGTTAATTTTACCCTAGAAGTAGCATTAACAGGTAAGATGAATCTTTACTTATGATTGATAAGATATTATTAGTTGATAAAATATATAAATTGTAGAAAAATGTTTTAAAGAATACTTCAAATGTTTTAAATGATTAAACATACATATATCTATTATTTGTTCAGCTTCTAAAATTTATATATATTTAAAATAAAAATCACTAATAAATTAATTTTTAAGACTAAAGCAGAAATATACTACATATTATAACCAATAAGCTATTTTATGCTGTTTTTTAAGTAATTACATCATTTTAAAATTATACTATTTTCTGTGCCAAATAACATTCCAAAAAATAAAATTTGTTATTGATGTTTTTCCTGTATGTTTTGGCATTTATCCAGGGTCACTGTTCAGAATAATTTTTGATATTAAATGATTCAAAAAATGAAAAACCTAACATGAATTAAAGAAAATTTATAGACAAATTATTGATTTTAATAATGAAAAATAAAATAAAAAGTATTAATAAAACTGAGACTGTGTCTTCCTTTATTAGTTTTTTTCTTCACTACTAGGTGCATAAATAGACACTAGGCATATTACATCATCTTTATTAATCTTCCTTAGGCCAATATGTAATGCTGATGGATGAGGGGCCAAGCCCAAAATGCGTATCGGCCTAAAGAAGATTAATAAAGATGATGTAATATGCCTAGTGTCTATTTATGTACTTAGTAGTGAAGAAAAAAACAAATAAAGGAAGACACGATCTTGGAAATACATAACTATAACCAAATAGTATTAATAAAAGTTTTTGTATTTATTTTATTTGCAAATAAAAATCTTAAATGATAATTCATAAAATACTTGTAGAGAGAAGTTATAATTGTGTGTAAATAACAGCTTGTTGATGTAATCAATTAACAATAAAAGCTATTAGACAATCTAAAAGTTTCCTTTGTTTGTCTAACAATGTTATATTGCTATAATACTCTATCATAAAGTTTTATTTATTTGACTCTGTCCATTTAACCTTACCTTCTGCAGGGAATTCAATATTTGTAACATTGTATCATCAAAGCTGTATATTTATAAAAATAAACATTTTCTACAATATTATAATTGTAAAATAAATAAAAGACAATATATTTAATATATAATTGATTTGATGATTAAGTATTCTAATTTTTTATTTTATAATTGGAAAAAATATTTCTTATTATATCAATAAAAGTTGAAATTATAAAAGTTTTTATGATATAGTTGTAAATCAGTAAAGTGATATAAGCATTAACAATTTATATAATTGATGGATTTCTCTTAAAGTAGCAGAGTAAATATACTACTTCCTTGTATAAATGTACTGCTGTACTCTTTCTTCAATTGAAGTTTCATGTAGTATTTTTTCCTGACTACTATTTGTTTTCTCTGTAAGTTCAAGTCAGGTGTAGGTGCAATTGATAAAGTATTCTGAGCAATCATTTTTTACAATAGTATTTTTTTAGTCACGGATAAGATTTTTATGTAAGAAAAAAAAAAAACCTCTTTTTACTGAACTTATCAATTAGATTTGTTTTAAAAAATTATGAAACACAAAATTAGAATAAATTAGAAATTAAAAGTAATGTCAAAATATACATCCATGCTTTGTTAATTACGTATCAAAATTTTATTCAAGATGATGCAAAAAAAATTGATAAATCTATTATTTATTAAAATATACAGTATAAAATCATTCATACTATGATTTAATTATTAAATAGTTAATAATTAAAAGTATTTAAATCATTTCTCACTCAAATTCCACTCAATTATTAGAATTTAGATAGATAGATGAAATGATTTAGTCATTATTTTCTGTAACTGTCTTCATTTATATTCATACTTATTTTTAATAATAAAATGTTTTGTTTATTTTATGGACAGGGAGATCGTGTATGATTACAGAAGAATTATAATTTTGAAAACTATCTTGATAAAGTTCTAAAATTTCTGACAAATTTGTTAAAAATTCAGTCACAGATTAAGCAAATTAAATAACAAAATTCAAAAGAAAAATTGAAAAATTTGTATATTTATTTATAAAATGCATGAAGAACTGGCAATAAAAAACAAAAATCTCAAGCTTATCATATGAAATCTGATATGGTAATCTTTAGATATTTGTTTTTTATTACTATTTCTTCATACATAATATATGCATAATGTGATAAAATATTTAGTTTGATCTATTCTTTTGATATTCTAGTTCCATTTGTTTCACATTTGTGTATATATCCAGACATAAAATATGCACATTCACCTATACCTACATATACACCTATATACATTATATATATAAGTTGTTTTCTGTCTTAAGTAGGTAACAAATTAATGAGTAAATTCTTGCATTTATTGATTGATTTTTTTATACATTTATAATTCATGTTTGTTTTCTTTTATCAAGAATAACTGGATATACAAAGAATCTGTAGTTTTAATGTAATATTCTTCTATAAATAAGCTAATAAGCTATTTTTTTTAACTATTAATTCAAGAGAGATTTATTTAAATGATTTAATTCAATTTAGTTCATAAAATATTAAATTACAGTACAG